TGATTCAATTCTAACAAGTTTCCATAGTCTTAGCCTAATGTTCCTCGCCTAAACTACACCATTTATTCAAAATTCTAACAGTTAAAACATCGGTTTCTATCGATTAAACCATTTCGACCTAAAAATGGAAAATGGGGAAAAACATCCAAACAATCCAAACATCACATACATAATCATACACATTGAGAAGATAATAAGATTTCACACCCTTACCCGATTAATTCGAATCCTAGATATTGATCTTGATGATTCTCCAAGTTTTCCTCTTTTCTCCTCTTCTCTCTTCTTCCTCTTTCTTTCTCTTCCTTTTCTCTTCTTTCTATTTCTATCCTTATCCTTTTCTATTTTCTTTCCCACTTATATCTCTTTCTATTCTATTTCTCTCAAAACATCTATTAATCCATTTTCTCACAAAATATCCAACTTAACATTAAATGCTAAATGTCTAAAATACCCTCCAATCTATTTTCCCCGAAAACTCTCAAAATCGGTAAAATAACATAATATGCACACATAACATATTACTACATCAATTCCACAATTAAAAGTAATATTCACCAAATTAAAATAAAAGACTCAACAAAATGGGAAATCAGAATCGGGGCGTTACAATGCCCCTCAGATTACCTATACAGAATATAAGATTAACGTACATTACCCTCTTATATGACAATGGGCAGTAAGAATAAAAGTTAACAACAACACAGAGAGGTCTAGAAGAAGCCCATTGTGATTAAACACATAGGTAACATAGAATAGAAAAGGAAATTTGAGAAAAAGCTTTTGAGCTACACCAGGTCTAGAGATGTCCACCACTATTACCTGGAAAAAAGGTATAAAGAGATAAATCCCAACAATAACATAGGACAAAATCAACGGACACAAGAAGTGCCAATAAAAAATGAAAAACAACAACAAAAGTAAACCCAAAGAAAGCAAAAATGTTTAGGGAAGAGCAGAGAAATAACCAGACAAACAACCAAATTGTCCATACAACTGCATGCGCCAAATCATGGAAAAACCTACCTATACTTAAACTTAACCCTTAAATAAATAAAAATTAAAAAAGAATCTTCGTATCCCTATGTAAATCCAACTGGACCCCTAACCATCTATAAATCATATACCAAACACTAGAAGCAAGATTGTAAGTAACAAATAAATGAGCGACTAATTAGATTCTATTCCCACACAAGATATAAGAAATACCACCTGCTCCACAATTACCTTCCGCTGGAACATGTTTTCTCTAGAAGAGAACTTGTCTTGAAGAAGATGTCAAGGAAAGAATATCGTCTTAGAGGGATCCCGACACTCCCAAATCAAGGACAGAGTTAAGTTTTCTCTTACTGGAAGAACCTCAAGAGGAGGAAGAAGGCTTGAATGGACCTGATACGTTGAGGCAACAAAGAAGATACCATCCTTAGAATGTCTCCAAACCCACATATCTCTCTTCACACTAAATTGAAACTCTTGGAGACTAAGAAGAAATTTGAAACCAGAGGTTCTTCATGAACGAAAAATGATCTCTTCCATTTAACATTCCATGAAAATCTCCCATTCTCCTATTTCCCAATCTCACCCACATATACTTCTTGGCACTGGGAAATGGTGAAGATCCTCTAGAACCTAATCCTAAGGGATATATCCTCTCTCCAAGGATATTCCCAAAACAATGTCTGAAGACTTGCCCATACCTTCTCAATTAACCCTCCCTCAAACCAATTCAGAGGATCATCTCAAGAAGGTAAGTATCTTTTTGCCAATAAGTTAACTTGAGCCCTATAGACCTAACACCACACAAAGATGTGACTATGGAAACACCATACCTCATAGCTAAGATGACAAGCTAAAGACCATAAGCACTTGACAAAATTATCCATCTCTATTTTTTTAATAAGATAATATATATATATATATATATATATATATATATATATATATATATATATATATATATATATATATATATATATATATATATATATATATATATATATATATATATATATATATATATATATATATATATATATATATATATATAAAAAGGGGAAACCATAACAAAAACGAGAGGGGAGACTATACGAAAACCGTCTCAATGAGAAACGAACCTAAAGAAAGGCAAACCCATCCTATTATTTATAAAATCTGCCCTTAAAAAAGAAGAAATCTTAGAAAATCTAATGGTATTGTTTGTTGAAAGGCCTATGTTTGCAAGAGAATCAACACAACTATTCCCTTCCTTATAAATATCAGAAGCCACAAAAGAAAAATATTAGCACTATTAACACAGTTAATCCATCTGGTTCAAATTCTCCAAAGAACAAAGGACGGCTCTTTGAAAGCAAGAACCACCGCCATAGACAATTCTAACCCTTCTAAATGACAAACTCAATTGCAAGAATCGCATTAGTGAGTTCGACAATGAGAGAGTTAGAATCTTCCAAAAAATGAGCAAAAGCTCCGAGGAACCTGGCTTTAGAGTCCCTAGCAATACCGCCACAAGCAGAAGAACCAGGGTTATCCGTTGAATCGCCATCATAGTTAATCATAAACCAATTAGGAGGAGGGTGTTTCCAAAGAACCTCAAGAATCTTGGGCGCATTAGGAGATTGAATTTGAACTTTAAATCTCTTAAGCAACCCAAAATCATGCATATTAATAGAGGCAGACACCGGAAAGTTATTTCCGACCCGAGCACAGTCTGCAATAAAAGAGGAAATAGAAGAAGAAATACTGATGAGTTTGTCTTTGAAGCGGATGGAGTTTCTAGCCAACCAGACATCATTAAAAAAAAGAATGAAAGCGACATTGGAATCCGGTTTTGTCTCAGTTGAGGAATAAACTTTTAATTGGGCTGGGATAAATTTGTCGATGGGAGGTAGAGTTTCCTTCATCAACTCGGTTTTAGTTAACATGCCTATTCATTTCTTGGCATTTTTCAAGGCTCTCAAAAAAATTGTGAAAGATATTATCGCTATCCAACGACGTTTTCTCTGGGCTGGGAATTCTAATAATAAATTCATCTCTTGGATTTCTTGGAATGCTATCTGCAAATCTAAGGAGCACGGAGGCCTTGGTATTAAACATGTTGATCATTTTAATAGAGCCCTTATAGCAAAATGGTTGTGGAGATTTTAAAATGGTGGTAATGACATTTGGAGATCGACGTTAAATCTCAGATATGGTAACTTGAGTTTGAAGGTGCAGACTTATGCCGATGCCGGTGGTTCAAAATGTGACTCAAATTGGATGAAGGATACTCTATCTAGCTCTAGCAACGGTTCCCATGAGGAATTTTGTCAGTTCATGGCTTGCAAGATTGGTGATGGTAGTGATACAACATTCTGGTAGTCCATTTGGATCGGAGAGATACCGCTTAAAAGTAGATTTCCGTGTCTTTTTCAGGGTTGTTCCCGTAAAGTCGCGAGTGTTAGTGGGATGGGAGCTTGGGAAGACGGTTAATGGACTTGGAATTTGAGTGAATTGTTGATAGATATGGATTCCATTCATGAACCAGAGTGGACTGAATGTAAGTTGCTATTGGATCACACTGTAGAAAAAATATATGTCGCTGATAATTGGAAATGGATTCTTGATGAGTCTCATTCGTACAAGGTTAGTTCTTTCTATTCCGCTTTAAATTCTTCCGCATCTGAGTTTGAGCTTCAAAGAGATAGCGTAATTTTTCTAGAGAGCCTTTGGAAAACGGTTCTATCGGCAAAAGTTCAAACTTTTATTTGGAGGATGGCGTTAGATAAGCTGCCTACTAAATCAAACTTGATGAAAAGAAGGGTGATTGTTGATACTCAACTTTTAGATTGTGCTTTCTGTTCGTCTAGTCTCGAGGAGATATCTCATCTATTTTTCTCGTGCTCTAAATCCTTGATGGTTTGGAATAAAATCTGTGAATGAGTTGATATTGGGTTCATATCGAAGGATAGTTGTTATCTTCATTCGGAGACTTGGAATTCGAGAATTTCGGGCCGGTGCAAAGAGAATAAGATCAACTCAATTTGGTTTTTTTTGTACTGGATTTTATGGAGGGCCATAAATAATATTATTTTCAATCATGAAACTTTTGATGTAGACGATATTGTTTTCGATATTAAAGTTTTATCGTGGAATTGGTTGATTTTAGGTAGGAAGGATATTAAGCATTGTAGCATGTACGAGTGGTTTAAATTTCCGTTTCATTTTTTGTAATAATCTAGAATCTAGAAGTAGTGTTTGTATTGTTGTCTTGAGATTCTCTTAATCTCTTTTTAATAATATTTGCTAATAAAAAAAAAACATTCTCCCAATCATGAATGTTGAAGTGCAAATCCAGAATTTTGCAAAGCCAAGATCATAAAGAAGCCGCGTATGAGCAAACGAAAAACAAATGCGAATTCGTTTCCTCAAAACGATTGCACAAACTGCAAATAGAAGGGAAAGCAAAACTTCTCCTATTTAGTCGTTTGTCTGTGGGCAGATTATGCCGGAATAACCAATCCATCTCTATTTAGCCTAGAGGGCTAAATTGACCGGTCAAAAATCTATAACACCTAAACTTTCATACTTCACAAGTGCAATGTATATTGCAAATGTTATTGATGTTGTGGAACGCAATTTAAAATAATAGACTCATATACTTACGAAATGATCATTAAAAAAAGACCCAAAGATAAATATCCTAAATAATATTAGAAAATATTAATAATTTATCTTAATATTCTAGATTTATTTTTTAATTAAAAATAGTAAGAGCCCACCCTTAACATTTTTGTGAAATCTATATTTTAAAAACCCACAAATTTATCTAATACATTAGTTTGTTTGGTCCATTAAAAAAAGAGTTTAATAATTTAGTTCTACATAAATATTCGTAAACTCTAAGTATGAAGAGGAATTTGATATCTGAACTCATATACTATAAATATGTGGAACTGTCTTTAAGGAATTAATACACATCTTTCCACATTAAGTTTTATCTTCAACTTAGTTTTTGTAAAAAAATGAGGATTTCTTACAACTCAACTTCATTTCGTTTCTTCATCATCTTCACTGCTTGCTTATCTGTATACTTTGCAATTCAAAAGAAAAAAACTAATGAAGATGAAGTTATCTTAAATATATCTTCAAGTTTTGAGATCCTAACCAACAAGTACTCCTCCATTTTGGGTCCTAAACTTGATAAGCTTCCTAACGAAGATGGAGTTATAAAACTATTCCAACTATGGAAGAGAGAACATGGACGAGTTTACAATGATATAGATGAGATGACAAAGAAATTTGCCACTTTTGTTACAAACTTGAAGTATATCACAGAGACTAATGCAAAGAGAGACTCACCTCATAGCTCCTTTCTTGGTCTGACCAACTTTGCAGATTGGAGCAGCAAGGAGTTCCAAGAAACATACTTGCATGATATTGACATGTCCAAGATCAAAGACACCGTGAATATTGTGAACGATGGTGTTGCTGACTTACCATGTAGGAATCCACCTTCATCCTTAGATTGGAGATCAAAGGGAGCTGTCACTAATGTTAAGGATCAAGGCACTTGTAGTAAGTTTGCGGTTTTTGCTTAATATTTTTTATACAATTGTTTTTGCATGATTCACATCTGAAACATCAAAGGGTGCTTCTCTTGTCCGTTTTGCGATGATTTGTATTTCAGTGATTTTTTCCTATTAATTAATATATTAATCTTCCATTTACAAAAACAAAGATAGTTGCTGGGCATTCACGGCGGTGGGTGCCATTGAAGGAATAGTGGCAATAGTGACAGGGAAGCTTGAGAACTTTTCAGAGCAAGAACTTGTGGACTGTGACGCTGAAAGTAGAGGGTGCGAAGTGGGATGGGTGTACGACGCGTTCAATTGGACTATAGGAAACAAAGGAATTGCATTGGGGAGAGATTATGTCTATAAGGCAGAAAAGGAAGATTGCAAAGCCTCACAGGTTTTTAATTTCCATCATTCAACTTTTTTATCATTCAACTTTTTAACCTAACAACCTAATTTGTTCATGAGCTGTAGATTCAAAATAGTCCCATTAGTGCTATTAATGCATATAATCAAGTGGAGAGATCAGAGAATGGAATGCTTTGTGCTGTTGCTAAGCAGCCAGTTGGTGTGTGTCTTTATGCAATCCCGGATGATTTTCAACATTACAGAACGGGCGTGAGTTGTTTTCAATGGATTATAAATTTTTTTGAGTAATTTTACATTTGTTAATAAAGACAACTAATTGTTTTCTCTTTCTTTTTCAATATTCATCCATTCCAATGGCAGGAAATATATGAGGGTACCAATTGTCCCGTGGATTCTTTAGATACAAATCACTGCATGTTAATAGTGGGTTATGGTTCCAAAGACGGTGAAGATTATTGGGTAGTAAAGAACTCATATGGCACATCCTGGGGAATGAATGGTTATATGTATATCAAAAGAAACACCGGTAAAATGTATGGAGTGTGTGCAATTAACGCATGGGCTTATAACCCTATCAAAAATAACTAGACTCTTTTTCTCTCTCTTCAAGTTAGAGTTAAGAGAACTATGAATCCAAATTGGTTCCATTCTGTATGGCTACTGATCCTTTTAGGAGATTTCGTTTTCTTGATTCGACAACTTCTTGTTGGCTGTTGTTGTTCTATAATTTGGGTTGGTTTTCTTTTGATTCATCTTTTTTTAGATTCTTGGTTTTCTTTGTTTTTGGTATTTCTTTTGGTTTTTGTTTTTGTTTGGTAGCTTTTTTTATACTCTGGCTGAGTTCTTCTCATACCATATCTAAGCGGTTCCCTTTGATTTTAATAATATTTAGTCTTTTAATAAAATAAAATAAAATAGAAGTTTCGCACTCAATGAATTTAATATGTCATGACAATATAAAATGGTTAGTGTTATCTATTATCAATCCTTCAAAATTTTATTGCATACTCTTACAAATTTACCTTTTCACCAAAATATAATTAAACTACATTATGCATAAAATGGTAATTGACAAATGTTATAATTAAAACACTTTCAAACCTATCTTTATATGACGTGTGTCACACACCTATTGTCAGATTTCCATTTCAAATTCTCTCTCTCTCTCTCTCTCTCTCTCTCTCTCTCTCTCTCTCTCTCTCTCTCTCTCTCTCTCTCTCTCTCTCTCTCTCTCTCTCTCTCTCTCTCTCTCTCTCTCTCTCTCTCTCTCTCTCTCTCTCTCTCTCTCTCTCTCTCTCTCTCTCTCTCTCTCTGCGCCAGCTTGTCTTTGGCTCTTTAAAAAATACAACAACAACTTATCCATTCAAGATTCTCGCAGCCGTGAGGAAAAACAAGAGTAAGTTTATTCGTGACTCAAGCTTCATGTGGTAACTGAGCTTAGAGAAAACCATGCATAATAAACCATTCAAATTTCTAATTTTTGAACTAGGATCTTGGTGGATCTCTAGGTAGAGATTCGGTTACATGTTAAGGAGTCCTCTTTGTAGTAGTGACTTTGATGAATGAATATGGAAAAAGTAGATCATTATTCAAGTATTTTTCATGCCTATTATTTTATATTATTGTAGAGGATGAAAACTCTATATTTAGTCAATCAACGTGCCCTTTTATTCAATATTCAAGATACTAAGGCTCATATATAACCTTTAGTCATAACAGAAAGAAACTTAAAACTCGGCATAACAGAAGCCATAACAAAATTAGAATGAATGACCTATTCTATCTCCTACAAAATAGGAACTTTATTAATTGACTAAAACAAACTCTAAGACTTATTCTAAACACTTAACGGCTCTTTCGATCTCTCCCTTAAGCTAAGTACCTTTAAACTAATACTTAGCTTATCTCTGTAATATCACACATTCCCAATGATCTCCGAAGTTTTTGAAAAACATCGGCTTTTAATGACTTGGTCATGATGTTGGCTACTTGATCAGCACTAGTACAGTACATCAAAACAATAGTTCCTTCTTCTGACAGATTTCTTAAAAAATGATAACGAATGTCTATATGATTGTTGCGTCCGTGCATTACCGGGTTTTTGGACAGTTTGATAGTGGAACTATTATCACACTTGATGCTGGTGCATTCTTCTCCTTCATAGCATAGCTCTTTGAAAATTCTTCTCATCCATACGGCTTGACAGGAACACACGGCAGCCGCAACAAACTCGGCTTTTGTTGTAGACAGTGTGACTATAGGTTGTTTTCTTATGCTCCATGCCACATCTCCTAAACTGAGTAGGAAAGTATATCTGCTAGTACTTTTCCTATCTTCAATATCACCGGCGTAGTCACTATCTGCGTAAGCTTCAAGATTTTGACCATTTTTCTTGTAAAAGATTCCAAAGTCCATAGTTCCTTTCAAGTATCTAAGGATTCTCTTTGCAATTTGTAAGTGGAGCTTAGTAGGTTTCGACATATACCTGCTGATTAAGCTTGTTGCAAACATCAAATCTGGCCAGGTTGAAGTAAGGCACATGAGGCTACCCACAATCTGCTTGTAATAAGTCTCATCCACCCGTACTCCGTCTACATCGCTACTGATCTTTACTCCAGGCACAATTGGGTTGCTGACTGAATTGCTCTCAAACATGTTGAATCTTCGTAGGACCTCCTCTACATACCGCCTTTGATAAATGAAAATCCCTTCCTTTTGCTGCACAAGTTCAATTCCTAAGAAATAACTCATCCTTCCTAAGTCTGACATGTCGAATTCTCTCATCATGGAATCTTTGAATTCCCTTATTAACTTCGCATCATCACCTGTAAATATTAAATCATCAACGTAAACACTTATAATGATAATCTTGCCCTCATTTCTCCTCTTGATGAAAAGTGTTTGTTCACTGTCACAATTATGAAATCCCTCCTTGATGAAGTGAGTTTTGATGCGACTGAACCAAGCCCGCGGTGCTTGTTTCAGTCCGTACAGTGCTTTGTGCAACTTATACACTAAGTGCTCATTCCTTTTCTTCTCGTAGCCTTTAGGTTGATCAACAAAAACTTCTTCCATTAGTTTCCCATGTAAAATGGCAGATTTGACGTCGACTTGAAAAATTGTCCACCCCTTTGCGTAACCGATGCAATTACCATTCTAACTGTATCCAGCCGTGCTACCAGAGCAAAAACTTCAGAGTAATCAATTTCATGCTTTTGAGAGTACCCCTTCGCTACCAAGCATGCTTTGCATTTTATAATCTTGCCAACTTCATCTTTCTTTGTCTTGAAAACCCATTTGACGCCAATCCGTTTAGCATCCTTTGGTAATTCAGTGAGTGTCCATGTGTTATTCTTTTCTATGGATTCTATTTCGCTATCCATGACTTGTCTCCATTTTTCTTCCTTTACGGCATCTTCGAACCAAATAGGATCCTCTGCTTCAGCATCCTTCACCATGTGTGCTTTATCATATAAGAGATTTTCCCCACTAACATAATCATTCATCCACTGAGGCATCCTTCGACCTCTCCCTTGCATTGAACTTTGTCCTCTTTCTCTCTGATTCTCAGGTGGCTCTGTATCCTCTTGTTCTGCATGTTCTTCATCCTCATGATCTTGTGTTTCCCGTGTTTTCTCACATTCAATTTCACTCTCTGATCCTGGTGTTTCTTTTTCTTCCCCAATTTTCTGCGCACTTTCTTTAACTCCCTCATTTGTTTTCTGTTCTTCCCACTCTAATTCCTTATTTAATTGTCCCTCATAATCTTTTCCCCATTCCCACTGCTTATTTTCTTCAAACACTACATCACGACTCACAATTAGTTTGTTTGTTTCAACATTAAACAATCTATAACCTTTTGTGTTCTCACTAATCCCCAAGAAAATACAAGTGGAGCTTTTGTTGCCTAATTTACCTTGCTTTTAAGTTGGTATGTGGGCGTGTGCAAGGCATCCCAGACTTTGAAGTGCTTCACTGAAGGTTTGATTCCGCTTCATGCTTCCTGTGGTGTAACATCTTTTACTGCTAGAGTCGGAGATCGATTTAGGACATGAAATGTTCAATTTATTACTTCTGGCCAGAAACGTTTTTGGATCTTCTTAGCTGATAACATGTATCTCACCATATTCATCACCGTTCTATTCTTCCTCTCGGCAACACCGTTTTGCTGGGGCGTTTATACATTAGTTAACTGTTTTAAATTCCATTTTCTCTACAGAAGTTGTTGAAGTCAGTGGAAGTATACTCGCCTCCCCTGTCTGTTCTTAAGCACTTTATGCTCAGGTTTGCTTCTGCCTCAACCATCTTCTTAAATATTTTGAACGACTCTAGAGCTTCTGATTTTTCAGATGACAAATAGACCCATGCTTTTTTACTGTAATCATCAATGAAACTCAAAAAATACCTTTTACCGCTGTTTGAGATGGGTGTGATGGGTCCATAGATGTCTGAGTAAATAAGCTCTAATGGTTGATTTTCCCTCCATGAAACTTGTTTAGGAAATGGACTTCGAGTCTGCATTCCGTTCAAACAATCCACATAGGTAGTGGTTTATGCATGGAATTTTGGGAGCCCATGTACCATGTTTTAGTACTGCAACATGCACAACCCTTTGTAGCTAAGATGGCCATACCGCTAATGCCAGAGCCTTGACACATCAGTGGTGGTGGTATGAAGACACTTCTCCTCCTGCCTTTCAGATCTAATAGTGAACAACCTATATATACTCATGATTGATTGTATAATCAATCCCTTTTTATGATGATACACCTTGCACATTCCTCCTTCAAACAATACAGCCAATCCTTTCTCTTGTAGTTGACCCACACTCAGGAGATTATTGTGAAGCCCAGGTATGAGATATAGACCATTTATTGAATAAGCGGTGCCTTCGATTACCAATTTTACGACACCTATTTCAGCCACCTCCATGCGAGTATCATTCCCCAGTTTGACAGAGTGGGAGAATATCATGTCCAAACTAGAGAACATGTCTTTATTGTTGCACATATGGTTAGAACAACCAGAATCAATGAACTAGGTGTCCCTTTTTCCATGAACACCAACATAGGCCATCAGGAGCATCTCATCTTCTTTGCCTGCCTCAGCATAATTTGCCTCCTTGTTCCACTTAGGAAACTCATATTAAAAGTGTCTTAAGCCATGGAATTTGTAGCATTCGACGGTAGATTTTCCAAAGTAGTTCCTTCCTCGGCCTCGACCACCACCTCCCCGCAGTGATCCTCTTCCTCTTCCTCTTCCTCTGCTAGATCTTTCCTCCACTTTAAGGGCATGTTCGTCCTCCTCCTTGCTGACTCTATTGAACTTCTGTTCATGCATCACTAAAGATCTTTGCAATTCATCAATTGATATTTCATCAGTGTCCTTTGATTCCTCGATCAAGACCACCATATTTGTGAACCATTTTGTCAAGGTTTGCAAGACCTTCTCCATAATTTTTGAGTCTGGCATGTTTTCGCCATTGCTTCGCAACTTGTTGGAATCTACCATTACTCTTGCAATGTAATCAGTGATGGTTTCTCCTTTCTTCATCTCCAAAACCTCAAATTATCTCCTCAAAGTGTTGT